CCGTTATAAAGGTGGGAATAGGAGATATAAAAGGGGAGGTGGACGTCAGGAGGTTGGGAATTGATATGGGTAGAGGACCCATGGACTGGAAAATGGGAGAAGGTGCAGGTCCCTAGGGAAGAAGCTGATCACAGATGGAGAAAAGGGCTGCGACAGCATCCTTCCTACTGGGGTGAGTCGGAAGCCAGGGAGTGGCACAGACGGCTCAAGGAGGAAAAGGAGGCAGTAGAAAGAGAGGGAAAAGAATGTCAGTTATGGCGTCTGGAGGAAGCAAAGAGGAGGGGATACCTGATGGACCGTGGGCCCCTCTTCAAGGAGAGGAAGACCCCTACGAGTTGGAGGGGCGAGATGAGGAGACCACCCCATTATTAAACCCCGAGACAGAGGCTGCTGAGATGGAAAGCAGTAACCCGTTTTTGAAGGGGCCTGGAATGACTCAAACTATAATCCCTTTAAGAAAGACATTTGGATGCCCTTGTTAGACCCATTGGCAACGAGAGAAAACCCAGCAGCTGAGTTCGAGCATACAGACTTCCTGTTACATGTTCCAATAAAGCATAGTTATGACTTTCCAACACGAGTCTCTCCAGTATCTCTGCTGAAATCAGAGGAGGTAAAATTTGAACCCTCACAGCACCCTTGTTGTTTTTATGTACTGTTAAGTTGGAACCAACTTATAGACCCTAACAGGGTTCTCAAGGTAAGTGAGATATTTAGGGAGTGGTTTCACCAGTTCTACTCCCCCAAGTCAGTTTCCATGGCTGAGTGGGGATTCAAACCATGTTCTCCAGAGTCCTAGTCCATCACTCTGTTCACTATGCCACACTGGGAACTCTGGAAGCACCCTTAGTAGGCAAGAATCCACTTTGATATGACAATACATGCCCCCAAATCCTTTATTTCATGGAACTCTTTCAATGTTTTCTTTAGATTTTTATGTAAGAGCTCATAATGGGGTCACACTTAAATAATTACCATACATTTGTAACCCATACAAGATTTTTGGTATTTGAAGGAAGTACAGGAGGACCACAGTATCTGCAGGAGATTGGTTCCAAGCCTCCACCCCCACGGAGGCTGGAAAGCAGGGATATAGAAGCCCTATATACATAGCTCAGTCTCAGGTTCCCTCTTGTAGCTAGTTCTAATTATACACCTTGAAAATGCATATTTCAGGGATTTTTAAAAATTTAGTATTTCAGGCACCAGATAAGTGAAACCACGGGTACTGTAACAGTTAAACTAAACTACAATATTAGAATCAGAAAGGAAAGCCTCACATTATTTCTGTCTGAATCTTGGCTGCTGGTGGTGGTAGTGGTGGAGGAGGATCACCTCCTTCAGAGAACGTTCTAGATGTCTTGAAAGGGGCAATTGCACATCCAATTCTCAAGACATTCTGATCCAATCCACAAAACTGTTACAACACTTATTGTTTGTGTTATGTGTCATCAAGTCATTTGGAACATATGGCAACTCTGTAAATGAGTGACCTCCAAAAATCATTTCATTAACAATCCAGCTTTTGCAAATTCAAGGCCATGGCTTCTTTTATTGAGTCAATCCATCTCATGTTCAACTTCCTCTTTTCCTTCTGCCTTTGATTTTTCTTAGCATTATTGTCTTTTCCTATGAGCTTTGTCTCCCCATGGTATGTCAAAAGTCAAAAAGTCTTATTTTAATTATTGTTAGAGTTCAAGCTTGATTCTTGTGAGAGTTCAAGCATGATATCATTTATGTGTCTTTCTCATGGTATCTATAAAACTCCTTTCCAACACAAGACTTTCCATATCAGAGTGAAATGGTTTTCTCAGTTTCTTCATCATTCAGCTCTTACATCAGTACATACCAATATGGGTTATCTTGGCCTTGGTCTCCAATGATGTCTTTACTCTTAAAAGATTTTTTTTCTTTTCCTTCATGGTTGCCTTTTCCATTTTCAGTTTTCTTCTGATTTCTTGGCTGCAATACCCATTTAGTTTAATGATTGAACCAAAATCTTCTATAATTTTGATTTCTTCATTATCAGTATTAAAGTTGTATAATTCTTCTATAGTCATGATTCTTGTCTTCTTAGTGTTCAACTGTAATCTTGCTCTTGCACTTCCTTGTTTAACGTCCTTCAATAGTTGTTTCAAGGAACTGCAGTTTTCTACTAGTTATATGGTATTATCAGCATATCTTAAATTATTGATGTTTCTTCTACCAATTTTCATTCCTCTTTCCTCTGAATCTAAGCAGGCAGCTGCAACAACTATCAGCCAATGACAACCAACTTCCTTCTTAGGAAAGGTGCTCAAGGAAGTGGGATAGAATGGATTACCTGGATGGATTCCAGTCCCAATTCAGACCCATCTGTGGCAGCAAAACAGCCGTGGTTGCTTGATGATGACTTCTGATTACAACAGCCACATATTCTCTTTTCATGCCCTCATTGGCAGGATCAATCAAAGTTGTGGAAAGCAAAACTGACAATAGGTGGGTGGCAACTGATCCATTCAGGACATGCCTGGAAAACATGAAGGATGTCATGTGACAAGGCCTGACAGGCTTGTAATCTTGGGTGCATAACATAGAGAGGAGAAACAAAAGGAAGAGCTGAATAGGATGGAAATAGCCTTCTTCTCTCATCCAGGCTCAGTGAACTTTGCTTGGAATAGATCTGAAAACTGAAAATGTGTAGAAAGTTCACAAGAATGACCTCCAAAATATAAAGCCTTCCAGAAGTACCAGGAGCACCAAACCATGGTCCTGGTGGTGGGGGTGTTAACCTCCCTGGGAGCAACAGCACCTCCTCACCAGCAGTCACTGCAATGCCTTTCCATTTCTCCTCCACTTCCTTTTACTTTTTTACTTTTCCTTAAAAGGAGAATGCTGGGGAGCAGAACGTCAGACCACGGCAACTGCTTGTACTCCATCTGAACAAGAAGGGGGAAGCCCATGTCCTTTCCTCCTTTCTACCATCCCTACCATCAATGGGAGGAGAGAGGGAGAGAAAGCAGTGCAGCAGAATGTTTGCAGGACTCAGGAACATCTTGTCCAGCCTGCTCATTTAAACCTAGAAACGCCACTGAAGTTTCTATCAAATATTATGCCTTAGGCATCAGCACTTAGTTATTATTTTTTTACATCACAGCTCCCATAACCACTATCCCAGCTGAAACATTCTTCTGCTTAGTGGTTTTCCAGACAGCCGGGAGCAAAGGGTGTGATCTCAAGCACACCTCTGCAGACACAAACAGCAGAAATTGACAAAGGACCAAGCAAATACAGCAGAGGACTTGTTTTATGGGAGCTGCCCAAGGTACTGAAGTCTGTTTCCCAAACATGTACAGTACCTTGGATAACTCCTTTAAAGTTCAGAGCTAAAACTGGAGCAGATTCATCACCTTCACAAAATCAGAGCCTCCGATCTTCACTGAGCAAGGTACATCCTGCAGGGGAACATGCGGAGCTGAGTGACATCATTGGTCTTTCTAGGCAAAGAGCACATCTCTATTTCTAGCAGCAGAGTTCTCTAAGGTTTCAGACAAATAGGTTTCCCCAGCTTCTGCTGATCTGAAATCATTCTAACTAGAAAAGCCAGGGATTTTAACCAAGGATGTTCAACATGAGAAGTGTTTTCTGTGTGTGTGTGTGTGTGTGTGTGGTTTTTATTTGGGGGGGGATTAACCTTCCATCTCTGATCCCAGGATGGTTATATGATGTCATAGTTTGTGGGACTGCACCCTACATGTCTGCTGTGCCTGTTGAGGACGTTCTTCAAAGAAATTATGTGGCTGAAACACAAACAGAGAGAGAGAGTGTCACAAACAGGATGAGGACAGGACTCAGGATGGTTTCCATACACATCCTTAACTGGCCATCCCAGTGCTAACTGTACCAGTGTAAATCTCTCCGTGTGAAATAGGTGTGTAATAGAATCAAAACTGAGTTTTAGCTGAAATGCAGCAGTGCAGAATGCTTCCTCCTCCAGCTTCCTCCTCCGAGCTGGAGTTGATATTTCATCAGCAGCAAAATCCATTCAGGGCAATGCCACTACAGACTGTATGGTATTACTCGTATAAAGCCAGAAACAAATCACATACACACCCCATGGGAAAAACTATCTCAGCTGCATTTTCCTGCTGCATGTAAGTAATTTTAATATTGAGAGCAACGAAAGATACAAATAAAACCCATTGGAGGCCATGAACTGTATCAGCATTGGCAAAAAACATAGTTTGTTGACCTCTGTGCAGGGCTTTAGAAGAAAGAAACTAGGAAATTAGGATTGGACATGATCAAAGAGTCTTGCAGCTTTCCTACAGCACTATCAACACATTTTGACTGATATCATTACAGCCCAGAGTAAAAATGAGTGCTGTTCCTTCCTTACTAAAGATGATCTCTCACAGAAGTACTGTATGCTATTTTGGTTTTCTTGATGGCTCTTTTTATAAAGCAGGGAAACTATTGCGACACGCCAACCGTGACTTCACCCACTCCAGCATAAAGACTGAAAGACAAGGAAGTTTTCAAAGGAGAATTCCCCTTGCTAGCATGATGCCACCGCCTGCTGAAGGCAATACTCATGGAGAAGAAAAGCAGCCGCATGAAATTGTTCAGATCTTAAAATATTCGTCTGATCCAGCTGGTCCATCAGAGAAAACAAATGGATTTCTGTACACTTATCTTCAGCGGAGGCAAATTCTCCCCATCCTTGTTCTCACTTAATTTTGAATGTGTCTGTGCCAGATGAACGCTGAACAGTTTTCAGGAACAATACAAGTTAGATGAATGGATTGCAAGTCCAGGAAGGAATGCAGAGTGAATTTGGAGCAGGAATATGTATGATGCTCGTGTTATAAAGCTGATGCTCTGCTTCATTTAAATTATGACAGATGAGGTTTCTTCTCTGAATATATTTGGAAGTAAAAGTGCTCTTCAGGAGATGTCACATTTTAGATGGGGAAAAATGTGCTTCAGGTAGTGCCGGTGGAACAAGACGACAAATGGAGAGGGGTTAATTTAGTTATTTATTACATTTATATTTAATGTAACCTCTAGGAAGGATTTTGGAGCAGTGAATATGCTTCCTCCCACCAACATTTTATGCTGTGACAACAATTTTCTAGTGAAGAAAATCAAACTGAGGGAGTGACTCCACCACTGAGACCCAGCTTCATCCCACAGATTTGGGACTCCTAATCTAGCACTGGTCTCAGATAATGCTGTAGATTGCCCTATATCCCAGTGGCATTCAAAACTGAAAGAGAAATCAGCACTGGAAACATGGGGAAACCTGCTATTATCTCTGATCAGTGATTGGGAACAACAACATAAGCCCAGCCTGTGCCTCGCTTGCTCATTCCCAACAGGAAGGCTAGTGATGCACAGCAAAATGATCCTGCGGCAGTGGGTGTGGTTTGGAGCAGGGGCTTCCATAGATTGTGGACCAGACTCCGCCTTCTAACCATTACAGCATGCTAGTTTACTCTAAGTAGGCCTTCTGTTGTCTTGTAAATCTAATATTAGCCATTTGTTCATAGCTCTATCTAAAAAGGAGGTCTTAAGGTCATTCACTTCACACATTGCATAGTAGCCTATCCAGATTTGCAACAGATGTATAATTCAGCAGGACAACGACAACTGATTTGGGCTCTTTGACAAATGTGCCTATAATAGATGTTTTCAAACACCATTTTCTATACCCACACGTTGCATTGTGTGGCTCAGACCTCAAACAATGCAGTTTCTGGATAGAATCGCAATGCCAAGTAGATTGCTGTGAGCTCTTTATGAGACAAGTTATGCATTCTGCTCAGTTAATTAATTCTTTGTTTCAAACATAATTATTTCAGAATAACAAAAGTGAGACTCTTGTGAGTTTCTTTAATGGTTTTTATTTTCTCAGCCAATAAATTGTTTCTTGCCATTTCTCTCTTCTTCCCAGTCCCACGGGTCCCCCGATGATGTATTGATTCCTTCTTTTACATTTAAGCACAAATTCATTGCAAAGTAAGTGATGCCAGATTTAACATACAATATACTGTACAAATGAGTGTGGGGCTTAGGAATCAAAGCTTTTTCAACACATTCAGTCTCTCTCTCTCTCTCTCTCTCTCTCTCTCTCTCTGTCTCTCTGGCAGTAAAGTCTCCATAGAGATTAACTGTCTTTTCCAAACAAAAGGGAATGTTTTGTTGTTCATTTAAACGGGCCTTTGAAACAAAGTAAAGACTTCCTTTCAAACACATGCTGTTTTTCTTTCTCCCTATAAAATAAATGCTATGGGTATTTTCAAACACACATTATCATCTGTAGAGTTTCTACTCCTCATTAGCATAAGAAGGAAAGACAGGCAGATGGAGGGAAAAGGGATTAAAACAAGATTCTACCCTGTTCTTTTGAAGGATATAGCACAAAAGCATCACTCTCTGGTGAAGGCTGAAGTTGCTTTCCTCAATCATATGCTGACCCCTGAAGAACTGACTTAAGACCATTTCTCCTACTGGATCATTGTTGCACTTAACAGTAGTCCCTGAACTTCAAGTCAGACTTGCAGGTAATGACCTTCTTGTGTTGTTAGGAAGCAAGGCACAATCTGCTGGGAAATTCATGTGCATAAACCTGATTTTGAAGACTTTGACATCGTTTTTGTTCGTTTAAGTGGGACTAGCATAGGCAGACTACCTGGTGCATTGATTATTTTGGAAATGAAACACCCAAGCTTGTAGAAAGTGATCTGAATTAGAGGGGCAGGGAAAATAGGCAGACAGATAGCCAGGTGTGTTTCTTCCCTTGTCTTTTCTAGCTCTATGATTAAAGTGCTATTCTAGGGATCATTTTCTTCTGCTGCTGCATTGGAGGTCGCTTCTTGCTTCTTCCGCCTCCTAGCTAGAAATAGGCAGACTCACAGGGCTTTTCCATAATTGCTAATAAGCAGACATTGGAGACTCAGAGGCTTCTGTGGCCAGATAGAGGGCCTTTGTTTTGAAGGAAGTAACAAATGTAGGATTTCTATTTTTACCTAATTAAGAGCTGTGACAAGTGTTTACATCCCAGGGTGAGGGCTTCCCTCCTTCCTGGGTGCACACCTTAACATGGTGGTTATAGCATTTGGATGAATGCCATCTGTATTTGCCTGGATGTTTAAAGGAGCATACTCAGGCCCTTTTCTTCTAAGTGACACACTGATGAGGCCTTGCAGATGCTCTTACGAAAGTACAGGCTGCACACGCTACAGTGGTGCCTCGACTTATTAACGTCCCTACTTACGACCATTTCGAGTTACGACCAGCTCTGGCCGCAAAATTTTGCTTCTACTTGAGACCAGAGCTTCCACTTATGAACAGAAAAAGGCAGGGGGAAAAGGCGGGAAATTCAAATTTCTAACTGTAGGTGGCGACGAGGGTGCTTCTTTGTAGCTCTTTCGCCCCAGCAGTTAGAAAATGTGCAATCAGAGAAGGCTGCCTGCGAAGGTAAGGTGCTGTTTTTTGCTTTAAAAAAACTGTTTTGGGTGTTTTTGCAGTGTGGTTTTGGGGTGGGGGGGTTATGTTTCTGTGCTGTGATGGGTCTTGGGGGGTTTGTTTGTTTGGGGGGATTTCCCCCATTTCTGATGGGTCTTGGGGGGTTGGTTACTTTTTTTAGTGTTTTCCCCAATTTCCAATGGGTCTTGAGGGGTTTGTTTGCTTTTTTGTGTGTTTTCCCTCATTTCCGATGGTCTTGCATGCTTCCCTTGCTTTTTCATTTGTTCTCTTTGCATTTCCAACCTGGTCCCTTTGTTCTCTGTGCATTTCCGATGGGTCTTACCCACTTGATTGTTTTTCTTCTCTCTCTTCCCCCCCCCCCCACTTCAGCCAGAAGGGATTAATTGTGTTTCCAATGAGTCTTGCAGTGATTTTTGGGTGATTTTTTTTCTTCATCCAGAACGGATTAATTGCATTTCAATGTATTTCTATGGGAAATGGTGCTTCAACTTACGACCATTTCGAGTTATGTCCATCTTCTGGAACGGATTATGGTTGGATGTCAAGGTACCACTGTATTATAAAAGCAGCCAGAGGGAAAATGGTCAAGTGGTTAATGGGAGTGGGGAATGTGTCCTTGCAACAGGGTAGCATCCTAGCATGTTTAAAGGAGGCAATAATAAGATGATTATTGAAAAAGCCCACTTTACTGGACAATTATTGGCCAGTCTCAAATATTCTATTATTGGCCATGGTATTGGACCATGCATGTGGTGGTTTTTCAGCTCCAAGGATTCCTGTAGGAAGTGGATTATCTAGACTCATTTCAATCTGGTTTTGGAGATAGCTTTGGTCAAGCCTTGGTGGGTGACCTATACTGTGAACTGGATTGGGGGGGAGGAAATTGTCCTTGTTGGTTGGGATGGACTTTTCAGTGGCTTTCAATATAATTGACCATAGTATCCTTCTGGACCATGTCTCTAGGATGGGTTTCAGAGGCACTGACAGCGCCGATCCTTCCTGGAGGGATAATTTAGAAATGGTGCTGGAGAAATTCTGTTCGACACCGTGGTCATTGGCCTCTGGCATCCCCCCAGGGATTTTGTCCCCTGTGCATTTTAACGTCTACATAAAACTGCTAGGAGAGGTTGTCCAGAGTTTTGGGGTTTGGCGTTGCCAGTATCCTGATGACACTAAACTCTCTTTCTCCTTTCCATCCATTTCTACTGTCTTGGTTCTAAACCAGTGCCTGATATCGATAATGGGCTGGATTTGGTCAAACAAACTGAAACTTGATTGAGACAAGACAGAGGTGCTCCTGGTCAATTAGAAAACAGATGAAGGAAGAGGGATACAACTTGTGCTGGATGGCATTATACTCCCCCTGAAAACTCTTCATAATTTGGATATAATTCTGGATTCATCCCTGGGTCTGAATGCCTAGGTTTCAGCTGTGGCCAGGAGTGAATTTGCACTGTTAAAACTGGTGCATCAGCTGTGCTTGTCCCTTGAGATGTCTGGCTTGGCTACAGTGAAACATACCTTAGTTCTATCCCACTTGGATTACTGTAACATGCTCTATGTGGGCCTGCCCTTAAAGATGGTTCGGAAACTTCAGCTGGCTCAAAATGCAGCAGCCAGACTACTGACTAGGGCCAGTCATAAGGACCATACATCATGCCCCTGCTACAACAACTGCCAGTCTGTTTCTGGACCTGATTCAAAGTGCTGGTCATTACCTATAAAGCCCTATATGAGTTGGGTCCAGGCCACTTGAATGACCATCTCTCCCCATATAGGCCTTCTTGGTGCTTAAGGTAATCAGAGGAGGCTCTCCTCTCAGCCCCATTGAAAGCACAGGCATGGTCGATGGGGACACAAGAGAGGGCCTCCTCTGTGGCTACTCCCAGGCTCTGGCATGCTCTCCCTCAGGTGGGGCAGGCTTTTAATATGACTGAGTCCCTGAATGCCATTTCTTACTTAAGATAGATGTTAATATTTTAAATGTGTTAAAGCATTCAAGGTATTTTCATCGGGTTTTAGTTCAATTGTTTTTTAATGAGTAATTTACTATGTTTTTAATCCTACGCTTTTTAATACTGTGAGGTGCCTTGAGTTCCTTTATCATGAGAAATCTGGCCTATAAATAAGACAAGCAAACTAACAAACCAAATTATTAAAAATCTGATAGATAAATAAAAAGTGATGATGACTCTGAGACCAAGCTTGGCTTCATTCTTCTAATCTACAAAACATAAAAGCCAATTAAGAATGAAAAACAC